GAAGAATCTTGCTGTGTTACACTAGACATAACATAAACAAAATGGTAAATTGCACCCAGATGCTACCGTTACTAGATACGTTCTGATACCTCGAGTTACGGGGAAAACTGTACAAATCTATGAGAAGTAGACCCGTCGTTCCCCGCCTGTGACCTTACTGTACCGTGAGGGTGTGAAACAAGGTGGTGGTGAGGGAGAGAGGGGTGTGTGGCGGCGAGTGGGTGGTGTGAGAGAGGGAGTGGATGGTGTGGGAGGGTAAGTGGGTGGTGTGTGCTGGCGGGACAAAAGGCCGCCTCACAGCCTTTCTCACGGTTATGTTAGGTTAGGTTATGTTATGTTAGGTTAGGTTAACGTTTTGGTGGTTAATCATAAAGAGAAATAAACTTCATACAATCTGTTTATTCTCAGGTGATTATATTTAGGATTTTATCAGTATAAATATGAATAATATATGCAAATTAGGTTACCTGCAAGGCACTTTAAGGCTAGTACACCACAACAGGCACCACTACACCCTCCACAGACTCAGTATAAACAGTGTAGGTGTGGGAGCCAACACTGGTTCAGAAGCAGCGTTAACTAAGGGTTCATTCCAAGGGTTCAAAAGTCTCACGATACAGTTTTGGAGCCTCAATGTGTGGGGGGGTGTGGGGGGTGGGGAGAGACGTTTAAAGTATGATTGTGGAGGCAAAAATCAGGTGTAATGCAGGTGTGTGGACATTCTGAGTCAGATGTGTGTAGTGCAGGTGTGTAGAGTGGTGGAAAGCTACTGTAGTGTTTTAAGTGTGGATTGTAAAAAGACACACCATATGAGTTAGGTGTGTGCAGGTGTGTGCAGGTGTGAGTACTAACACACCCTCACACCTGTTACCTCTCCCTGGGTCTGGCAGCTCACAGCAGCATGACAACGTATTTTTTAACGAACCAGATATTCCAGTTTTCAACACATTAATACAACACGGAAAGAAAGGTTGTCAAGTTATACCATGTATGTATGTATGTATGTATGTATGTATGTATGTATGTATGTATGTATGGCAGATAATTTAGATAGTGACAACGTTATTAATCTGTGGGAAAGAGTTAACTAGCACTGGGTATGACCTTGAGTTAGGGTCATTGGGTAATTAGTTTGACCCATTTGACAGACACAACAGATGGTGGTGAAGAAGAGTGGTGGAGGGTGATGGTGGAGGAGAGTAATGGAGGGCAATGGTGGAGGAAGAGGGTGGTGGTGAAGGGTGGTGGTGGAGGAGGATATTGGTGAAGGATAGTATTTGAGGAGGAGAGTGGTGGAGGAAGAGGATAGGAGTAATGGTGGAGAAGGAGGAGAAAAGTGGTGGTGGAGGAGGAGGAGAAAATTGGTGGTGGAGAAGGAGGAGAAAATTGGTGGTGGAGAAGAGTGGTTGTGGAGGAGGAGAAGAGTGGTGGTGGTGGAGAGGAGAAAAATGGTGGAGGTGGTGGAGAAGGGTGGTGGAGGTGGAGAAGAGTGGTGGTGGTGGAGAGGAGAAAAATGGTGGAGGTGGTGGAGAAGAATACACAATATATCCAACTTAAGCTACGTCACCAAGATCCACCTCCAAGATTCTCAAAGGAGTTTTATTTTTTTCTCGTAAGTGAAACTATCAGAATATGTTCCCTGTATCTCACTTAACTTACGACCAATGGCTCAGGTTTACCCCCAACCACTACACAACCGTAAGTTAAATAAATCATCATTAATTGTAGATATGATAAATTAATCGAGTCACGTAAACTAAGACTCTGAGTTGAAAGCCCTAATGGTGTCTGAATCATTCTGGGAACTATTTTTTTTTTAATCTTAAGTGAAATTATTAAGGTATCGTAGGAAGCTTTGAGAATCTGGACTGTGGTGGGTCACTTATACCTGTGTTAGGCATCTTGGGATTGTCGTAGGCGTTGTTGGTGTTGTTGACAGGAGAGTGTGTGTGTGGCGGGGGGGGGTAGGAACACACACACACACACACACACATATGCATGCATGAATATTGATATTCGTCTCAGGGCATTGACCTTAGGGGTGTGAGTGACCCCCTTCCTCCCCACCTTCCCTCTCTCTCTCTCTTTCCTCACCCAGACCCACTTCAGTTTTCTCTACATCCTCTCTCTCTCTCTCTCTTTCTCTCTCTCTCTCTCTCTCTATCCTTCACCTTCACACACTCATTCTCTCCTCCCCACCCTTCCCTCCTCCCTCACCACCCCCCTTTCCCCTCACCACCACCCCCCCTCCCCCTCACCACCACCCTCACCATCCCCCTCCCTCCCTACCACCCCTCCCCTCACCCCTTCACCTGTTCCTTCACCCTCACCATTCTTCTACCTCCTTCCTCCTCTGACTCCTCCATTCCTTCTCCCTCCTTTGTCTTCCGTTTTCTTTTATGAATCTTTTCTGATCACGAATCTAATAAAAATATATTAGTCTCCATTATTAGAGAGAGAGAGAGAGAGAGAGAGAGAGAGAGAGAGAGAGAGAGACCATAAGATCAGACGCCTGTACTGTATAATGATGAAGTGTTTGATGTGACTCCCGCTTCACCGACTTCCTCCCTCTACTCCCGCTTCTCTACTCCCACTTCTCTGACTTCCTCCCTCTACTCTCGCTTCTCTACTCCCGCTTCTCTGACTTCCTCTACTCACTACATAATTTCTCTCCCTCAGAATTTATTTAACTCCGTGACAATAAACATTTTCGGCGCCAGAATTTATTTAACTCTGTGACTATGTAAATTCTCGCCCCTGAAAGTTTATTAATTATGTAATTATACAATTTCTCGGTGTCAGAATTTATTTAACACAGTAATTATATAAATTCCCATCTTCGGTATTTATTAAACTCAGTTAATACATAATTCTCAGTGTCAGAATTTATCAGACAGCAATAAGATAAATTCTCGGGGCCATTGTTCCGTCATCCATTGAAAAACAATTATCTTGTCCTTAGTTGGTTAACAAGAGCGACACCGGGGGCCCCTCCAAGCGTAATATAACCTGGTTAATTATACTGAGTTAAAGTTATATTATCGGTTAATAACAGATAACTGGTTAATTGTAATTAGTTAGTAATTTATAAATGGTTAATCATATATATATAAATAACTGATAATTAAATATAACTGGCTAATTGTACAGTATTATTAGATTATATGAAATTATATAACGTGTACCAACGGCTATTGTTTTTCCTTGGGCAGTAACTTAAAAAAACATACATTATACTTTTCTACTATATATTTTTTGTTTCAGTACTCAGTAATAGAGTTTGGTTGTCATGGTGACCAGAGACTTTGGTTGTCATAGTGACCGGAGAATTTGGTTGTCATGGTGATGCCGGGATTATTGTTTATATTATTATTATTTTTTTTTCCTTTGGGGATATATAGTGTTATTCCCGTCTGTCTGTCCTTCCGTCCGTTCAAACATCTATGTGTCATGTATCATAATATTTATCTATTTATCTTTCAATCTATATGCCTGCCTGTCTGTCTGTCTTTCTGTGTGTGTGGGTCGCCGGCAGTAGTGTCATGCCCCCATCGTGGCGGCCACCTGCTGTGTGTGTGAGTCGCCGGCAGTAGTGTCATGCCCCCATCGGTGGCGGCCGCCTGCTGTGTGTGTGGGTCGCCGGCAGTAGTGTCATGCCCCCATCGTGGCGGCCACCTGCTGTGTGTGTGGGTCGCCGGCAGTAGTGTCATGCCCCATCGTGCCTGCGTCGCCGGCAGTGTCATGCCCCCATCGTGGCGGCCACCTGCTGTGTGTGTGGGTCGCCGGCAGTAGTCATGCCCCCATCGTGGCGGCCGCCTGCTGTGTGTGTGAGTCGCCGGCAGTAGTGTCATGCCCCATCGTGGCGGCCACCTGCTGTGTGTGTGAGTCGCCGGCAGTAGTGTCATGCCCCATCGTGGCGGCCGCCTGCTGTGTGTGTGAGTCGCCGGCAGTAGTGTCATGCCCCATCGTGGCGGCCACCTGCTGTGTGTGTGGGTCGCCGGCAGTAGTGTCATGCCCCATCGTGGCGGCCGCCGCCTGTGTGTGTGGTCGCCAGCAGTGTCATGCCCCCATCGTGGCGGCCGCCTGCTGTGTGTGTGGGTCGCCGGCAGTAGTGTCATGCCCCCATCGTGGCGGCCGCCTGCTGTGTGTGTGGGTCGCCGGCAGTCGTGCCCCATCGTGGCGGCCGCCTGCTGTGTGTGTGGGTCGCCGGCAGTAGTGTCATGCCCCATCGTGGCGGCCACCTGCTGTGTGTGTGTCGTCATGCCCCCATCGTGGTGGCGCCTGCTGTGTGTGTGAGTCGCCGGCAGTAGTGTCATGCCCCCATCGTGGTGGCCGCCTGCTGTGTGTGTGTGAGTCGCCGGCAGTAGTGTCATGCCCCCATCGTGGCGGCCACCTGCTGTGTGTGTGGGTCGCCGGCAGTAGTGTCATGCCCCCCGGCCGCCTGCTGTGTGTGTGGGTCGCCGGCAGTAGTGTCATGCCCCACATCGTGGCGGCCACCTGCTGTGTGTGGGTCGCCGGCAGTAGTGTCATGCCCCACATCGTGGCGGCCACCTGCTGTGTGTGGGTCGCCGGCAGTAGTGTCATGCCCCCATCGTGGTGGCCGCCTGCTGTGTGTGTGGGTCGCCGGCAGTAGTGTCATGCCCCACATCGTGGCGGCCACCTGCTGTGTGTGTGGGTCGCCGGCAGTAGTGTCATGCCCCCATCGTGGTGGCCACCTGCTGTGTGTGTGGGTCGCCGGCAGTAGTGTCATGCCCCACATCGTGGCGGCCACCTGCTGTGTGTGTGGGTCGCCGGCAGTAGTGTCATGCCCCCATCGTGGTGGCCGCCTGCTGTGTGTGTGGGTCGCCGGCAGTAGTGTCATGCCCCACATCGTGGCGGCCACCTGCTCAGCTCCCCGTCGTGTATCTCAACTGTGTGTGACCTGAGGCGCCACGCCGCTCGTACAAGAGCATAAAAGAGGTCATTTGTGCAGAGTGAGTGCCTACCGCTAGCGGCCAAACCACTTTATGTAAGGCTAACTCATACGCCTGGCAACAGCGTGCTGGCCGCCCGCCCAGCTGCAGGCGTCGCCCTAACTGTCTTGCTCTCAACCCTAGAGTAATTACTACTACTGTACACCAGGTAAAAGGTGTCGTATGAGTGCGATACTTTATATTATATTAAATAACCGCTCTTCATTGTCTGGTAAGTTATTATATATGTAAATAACAAAATAACTCGCCTTCACTGCTGTATATATTGGAATAATTCATGGTGTTAATTACACGGAGCCTTGGAGGGGGTGTAACTATGAGCTATTGATGCGGTCGCCTGTATGAACTTTTTGTGCTGGAAGAAAGATGACCAGGAAACTATCTCCAGAGGACCTAGTAACGAGGCCGAGACTTATCCAGTGAGAATTACATCAAAACTCCCGTTACTATTACATAAAGCCTTAAGATAACGTCCCAGTAACCGACCGACACACACTGGGATCACCTGAAGATAACACACCCCAGCTTATCGCACCTGATGATTGAACACCTTAACGCTACCTGGGGGCTGGCTTAGGTTAGGTTAGGTTAGGTTAGGTTAGGATAGGATTAATATTAAACTACTAAGGTACTCGTATTCTCTCTCTCTCTCTCTCTCTCTCTCTCTCTCTCTCTCAACAACAGGGGCAGTATCTTAGCACCTGCACGAGACTTTATCTGCTTAGGTTTACGAATCGCCCCATTTGGCAGTGTCAGTCAATCAATCAAGCTGCCATTCTCCTGTCTGAGGGTTGGCGACCATGGCCCTCTTTTCCAACCATTTGGAAGCTTACCTTTACCCTCAAGAGAGTCACTCACAGATCGAGTGGGAATTGCAAAAAAACAGTTTATGTCATTATGAGATTAACTTAACTTAACCTAACCTAACCTAACCTAACCTAACCTAACCAAACCACCCTATCCTAACCTTACCGACCCGTCCTGACCCGACCCGGCTCGACCCAAACCGACCCAACTCCACATGACATCACCTGACCAAACTTAACCTAACCTGAAATCTCCCGCAGCCAACCAGACCATTTAACTGTGTTTAAACTCTACAGTCAGACACTAATCTTCTCTTACCTTGAACTTTACGCCTTTTGTCAACCTAAATAACTCACTCAAATGACACGACGTTAAATATTTTAGTCCCCATAAAGATCTGGGCCCTGGTGGTGTGTCTTAGTGATGAGGGCTAATCTAACCTAACCAAACCAAACCTAACCTAAAATAACCTAACCTAACCTAACCTAATCTAACCTAACCAAACCTAACCTGACCTAATCTTACCTAACCTTACCTTACCTTACCTTACCTTACCTCACCTTACCTTACTTCACCTCACCTTACCTTACTTATCTTACCTGACCTGACCTGACCTGACCTGACCTTACCTTACCTTACGTCAAGCGGATATTTAGTGAACGAGATCTTGTGTTGGGTCATTGATAAGGGAACTCGTTTTTATGTCGCATTGTCGGTGAGGATGTGAGTGACGGGGAGTAACGCTGCAGGAAGGACGTGAGTGACGGGGAGTAACGCTGCAGAGAGGACGTGAGTGACGGGGAGCAACGTTGCAGGGAGGACGTGAGTGACGGGGAGTAACGCTGCAGGAGGACGTGAGTGACGAGGAGTAACGCTGCAGGGAGGATGTGAGTGACCTTCAGGTTCCTCTGGATCCGTGAGTGACTCTTCTGGAATGTGACCAATATATTGACCTGTGGAGGGAGGTGGAGAGTGTCGGAGGGGTGGCGGAGGGAGGTGGAGAGTGTTGGAGAGGTGGTGGAGGGAGGTGGAGAGTTTTGGAGGGTGGCGGAGGGTGGCGGAGGAGGTGGAGGTTGGAGAGGTGGTGGAGGGAGGAGTTATGGAGGTGGTGGAGGGGAGGTGGAGGGTGGTGGAGGTAGTGGAAAAAGGTGCTGGTTCAGGGTGGTGGAGAGTGTTGGAGGAAGTGTGGTGGAGGGAGATTGCTGTTGGAGGGTAGATGTGGGAGGTTGTAAGGAAGGGGAAGGGTGGTGGGTGACTGGAGGAGGGGGAGAGTTTGGAGGTGGAGAGATGAGGGGTGAGTGTCTAGGGTGGAAGGTGTTTTTGGAGGGGGTAGCTGTTGCGGGGGTGTGGTGTGAAAGGATTGTGGTGGCAGTTGGTGATGAGGGATTGTGGTGGTAGGGTTGTGATGGTGTGAGGGTTGTGGTGAAGTGGGGTTGTGATGGTGAGGATTGTGGTGAGTAGGGGTTGTGATGGTGAGGGTTGTGGTGGTAAGGGGTTGTGATGGTGAGGGATTGTGGTGGTAGGGGTTGTGATGGTGATGGATTGTGATGAGTAAGGGGTTGTGATGGTGAGGGTTGTGGTGAATGATTGTGGTGGTGGGGTGTGATGACGAAGTTGTGATGGTGGAGGGAGGTGGTGGCTAAGGATTGTGGTGATGAGGGATTGTGGTGGTAAGTAAGGGGTTATGATGGTGAGGGGTTGTGGTGGTAAGGGGTTATGATGGTGAGGGGTTGTGGTGGCGAATGATTGTGGTGGTGGGGAATTGTGGTGACGATGGATTGTGGTTGTGGTACAGTATTAGATAGTGGTGGTGGTTGAAGGTCACAGTTGAAGAATATCGGTAATGCATGAGGTGGGGGGAGGTGGCGATGGTGTGGCTGTAGGAGTGTGGGTGTGGGAGAGGTGGTGTGGGCGTGGGAGAGGTGGTGTGGGCGTGGGAGAGGTGGTGTGGGCGTGGGAGAGGGACCAAGCGCCTGGCTGGTGTCAAGGAGGAAGATTAGTGAGAGCAGGAAAGGGCGAGGGAGAGGGAGAAGGCTAAGGGAGAGTGGCAGGACCCGGGTAATGAGGGACCCAGTTCAGTGAAATATGGTTGGGAGAAATGAGTGAGGGAGGGATTAGGAGGGGTGAGAGTGAGGAGAGTTAAGATGGGAAGTGAGGGAGAGTTAAGGAGGGTGAGAGTGAGGGAGAGTTAAGGAGGGTGAGAGTGAGGAGAGTTAAGGAGGGTGAGGAGTGAGGGAGAGTTAAGAGGGGCGAGAGTGAGGAGGTTAAGGAGGGTGAGTGAGGAGGTTAAGGGGCGAGAGTGAGGGAGAGTTAAGGGCGAGTGAGGAGAGTTAAGACAGTGAGTGAGGAGAGTTAAGATGGCGAGTGAGGAGAGTTAAGAGGGCGGTGAGGGAGAGTTAGGGAGGTGAGGAGGTTAGAGGACGAGTGAGGAGGTTAAGGGGCGAGAGTGAGGGAGTTAAGGGGCGAGTGAGGCGGAGAGAAATGAATAGGACCCAGGTGAGTGCCAGCTAGGTTGGTAGGGTGGGGGGGGGGGATTTCACCATCACCTAGGGACTCACCTGTCCTCACCTGCGTCAGTATGGATCAGGGTGGCACGTGATTGCCACCTGGCCTCTCCTCAGGTGCTTGGAAGGATTGACCACCTGCTTCTCAATTGCTCTGACTCACTACACGACGCCCACACGCTATTGACTCTTAGGTAGGAAGGGTGGCCGTCGCAAAGCCATTACTAGACTGACTGTGATGACTGTCTGACAGAGGCGCCTCAACACCCAGGTGACTGTAGACTGTCTGTGATAAAGAGCCAGTCAGTTGAGCTCCCAGTTAACTCACATAACTCCCAGTCAAGTACATAGCCCTGTGCAAAGTTTATTAATACACGTATGCATTACACCTCCAGTAATATTGTATAAACACACTGTATATTTTGATTCCTTACACGTACTATGATGATGATGACAGTGCATAAACTCCACTACATGTCGAGGGTTTATTACATAAATATTAACATGGAGACATTTCCGTTCCCAGGTCTACCATTATCATATTTATTTATCGGGGAATTTTTTCTTCATTACTCATGGATAACATTACAGATACAGACGCAGGTATAATACATATTAAGGTACAGGTAGAGTTCCAGGTACAATTACAGTCGCAGGTACAGTACAAGTATAGTTACAGACACAGGTACAGATACAGTGTTAGTATCATCACCATCATCACAATCAGTATTACTCACCATCATCACAATCAGTATTACTCATCATTATCATCATCACAATCATTACTACTCATCATCACAATCAGTATTACTCATCATTGTCATCATCACAATCATTACTACTCATCATCACCATCAGTATTACTCATCATTATCATCACAATCATTACTACTGACCATCATCATCATCATCATCATCACACGTATAAAGGCAGGTATTCATTACACTCACCACAAAGGCTCATTACATGGTAGCCAGAGCGTCGACTGGTGTACAAGCTAACCTAATATTACCTCCCACTGGACACACCGTCGTAATTTCTCGCCATAGTTGTTTCCAGTTAAGCTCTTTTGATAGTTGTGTGTGTCTGTGTACGTTTATATGAGCGTTTTGCGTCTGTGTGCCTTTATGTGCATCTGTGTGAGTGTGTGAGAGAGCGTCTGGTTATGCGCCTGTATATCTGTTTGTCTCTATGTGCGTTTTTGTGTGTTTATATGGGTTATCTGTATGTCCCTTGGTGAGTCTGTACGTGTGTCAGTGAGCCACAGTATATCTGTTAAAGATTCTCAATGTTATATGCACAATTCTGTCAATCATCGTTCACACAGACCAGTGGATTAACTCCTTATAAATATATGTAACAAACTGTGTATTTATCGCTGTACAACAACAATAATAATAATAATAATAATAATAATAATAATAATAATAATAATAATAATAATAATAATAATAATAATAATGCATAAATCTCAGTAGAATGTATTAAATAATGAAGGGAAATAAATACCAGTGAAGGAACCAATGTGTCGGCGCAAAACTCACTTAGCAACCAAACACTTTAGTCAATGTTTACGAATTGCTATGGTTACTAAGGACGCCAAAAGTGGGTGGGGCTAAGTCTATACCCTAAAGGTCAGTCAGTCTTCACGGCGCTGGAGTTCATGGTAAGCGAGAGATACTAAGGAGAATGGCACAGGTTTCGATACCACAACAACTTCCCCCGGGGTAGAGAGGTGTTAAATGTTTATACCTGGAGCGGATAACACCTGGGCATGGGTATAGGTTGGGTAGGATGAAGAAGGGGGGGATATCTCTAGTACTCACCTCCTCCTCTTGTGTCATGGCCAGCTCCGGCTCGTGTTCGTCCAGCTTATTCAACAGCTTGTCCTGGAAGAGAGGAGTACACTGTTAGTTTATGATGCTGGTAACCTAACCTAACCTAACCTAACCTAACACTTTCAACATTACCTTCCTGTTAGATGTAATTCTCACCTGTGTTTGAGGTTACTAACGCTTGATATCACCACAGCAAGAGCTAACAAATTACGACGTCACTTCAACACAGTAACCATCATTGACCCAAGTCTGTAGAGTTTGGAAAGTAAAAATCTGGCGAGTGTGTATGATAGAGGGATATTATAGGGCCATATGATGATTAGACACCCTAGTTTATTTCACCTAAAGATTAACCCAACCCATCCCAACCTAACCCAGCCCAGCCCAACCCAACCCAACCCAGCCCAACCCAACCCAACCCAACTCCAGCTCCAACCCAATCCAACCCAACCCAACCAACCCAGCCCAACCTAACCCAACCCAAAGTTAGAGTGGTTAATCTACAGGTGAAATAAGTTTGGATGTCTAATCTTCAGGTCTCGTTAACAGAGAGGTACTCGTTAACCACAGCCTCCAGTGACTGTGCGGGCCGGGAACAGCGTCACTGTATTGTGTGTGTGTGTGTGTGTGTGTGTGTGCCCTCACTTAACTTCTCTGTTGTCAGCCATGAAAAGAAATCGTTGATTTTTTTTCGGTAAACTCGGTAAAAGTTCTGAGAAAGATAAGACTAATAATTGACTTTAATTATTTTATTGATGGCGACAAAATTATCTGACTGTTGTCCTTTGTATGTATCAGTGGAGAGAGAGAGAGAGAGAGAGAGAGAGAGAGAGAGAGAGAGAGAGAGAGAGAGAGAGATTGTAAAATAACAAGTAACAATATACCATCCTCTCACACACACACACACACACACACACACACACCACCACTCCCCGGCCTGGTGGGTGTTGGGTCACACTTCACCTCGTTGGTTCACAAGTTTTTTAACACATTAATGGTAAGAGAAAAGTTGTGTTTGTCTTGACCATTTGTGAATATTAAACTCGATTCACCTGAACGTGAAACACCCAACTTTTTTTTTAACGTGATAAAATTATGTAACGTTAACCTAAAATAGCTTAATCAACCTAATGTAGCATAATATGACATAACATAACATAACTGGACCTAATATAACATAAGCTAACGTAACGTAACCTAACCTATGCCCACCTAAACCTAACCTAACCAAACCAAACCAAACCAAACCAAACCAAACCCCCTCTAGTGTGTTTAATCATCAGGTAAAATAAGCTGGCGTGGGAGTACTAATCTTCAGGTGATCCGATGTATGCGTAGTACAGGACATGTTTTGATGGTTAACACACACACACACACACACACACACACACGAAGAAAAAAACTGATTATATCTTTATTGCTGAAAAAAATGATCAATAACACAAACTTATGAGTAAAAAACATTGCCAGTCATTCAGTCAGTCAGTCAGTCAGTCAGTCAGTCAGTCAGTCAGTCAGTAAGAACGTGAAAATAGAATAAAGACAGAAGTTGAAGATACGAACGTGTGAAGAGTAATGGATGAGAGAGAGAAATTGAGTGAGAGTTGCAAGAGGCAGGTGTAAAGTGAGGGAGGTGAGAGGCGCCGTGGAGAGGTTAGTAATGAAGGAGGGAACAGAGTGATGGTGCTTCAGTGAGAGGGACGGAGGGAGCAAAGTGATGGTGCTTCAGTGAGAGGGACGGAGGGAGCAAAGTGATGGTGCTTCAGTGAGAGGGACGGAGGGAGCAAAGTGACGGTGCTTCAGTGAGAGGGACGGAGGGAGCAAAGTGATGGTGCTTCAGTGAGAGGGACGGAGGGAGCAAAGTAACAGTGCTGCAGTGTGAGGGAGGGAGAGAGGGAGGGAGCAAAGATTAATTGAGGAAAATATCAAAAGGGAGGGAATAAGGCAGATAGAGAGGGAGAGGAGGAGGCAGAGTGAGAGGGAGAGGAGGAGGCAGAGTGAGAGAGAGGGTGAATAAAAGAGATGGAAAGAGACAGAATGATGGAGACAGAAGAGAGAGAGAGAGAGAGAGAGAGAGAGAGGAGGGTAAAAAGTGAGGCAGGGTGAGAGTAAAGGAAGGAGGGAGAGAGGAAAATTAGAGAGGAACGGAGAGAATTTGAGAGAGGGAGAGAAAGAGAGAGGAAGCGAGAAAACGTTAGAGGGAGCGAAAGAAAGTTGAGGGACAGAAGGTAAATGAAAGGAAAGGAGAGAACAATGACGCTGCTTGACCAGATAATGTCTAGCGTCGTCCTGGAGTCTGTCTGTCTGTCTGTCTGTCTGTCTCTCTGTCTCTCTGTCTGTCTGTCTGTCTGTCTGTCAAGTAGCAAATATTGGTTAGGTTAGGCTGTACCCCATGTATTCAAATAGATTATAGACTCTCAGTGACCTTTGACCTTATAATGACCTTTCCAGTTAATGATATCGTTATTTATGTTATGTAGTGGTGTAATTATGTCATTGAATTTAGTTGAAATGTTAACATAATATGCTTTGAGTAATGGCATTGTAGACTATTAATAACTAGTAACCTTGCAACATGACCTATTGGATTTTTCGTGACCTTTTGTGACCTTACATGACCTATTGAACTTAAGAGTGACTTTTTGTGACCTTATATGACCTTTTGTGACCTTACATGACCCATCGGACTATAAATGACCCTTTGTGACCTTACATGACCCATGGGACTATAAATGACCCTTTGTGACCTTACATGACTTATTGGTACGGCTGTCCAATGGTTTTATATTAAATGTGATTATATATTTATTTAATCAATACTATATATAACTATTAAAAGTGGCATAATAAACTAGTCATTATTTTTATGATGCTCGAGGGTCACCATTAGGCTACCCATTATTTATAGAGTCAGTCTAATATCGCTATGGGACTTATTTCTGATCAATTTAATGGTATGGTAACTCAGGTCAATATTGGCAGTTTAGTCTAATTGTATAATGGTGTTCAGTAAAACGCCTTTATGTGTGTGTTATTTTCCCATCTATATTATGGTTCTTAGGCTGGTCAATAATTTTTAATAGAAGGTTTAATGATGTCTTATGAGGTAAAGGTTTGTGGTCAATATTCTTAGGTTAAATCATGGTCACTGTTCTTTGTGTTTATATTTGACCTTCACCCTGAGGCATAAATGACCTTCCCTCTGAGACATAAATGACCTTTCCTCTGAGACATAAATGACCTTTCCTCTGAGACATAAATGACCTTTCCCCTGAGACATAAATGACCTTTCCTCTGAGACATAAATGACCTTTCCTCTGAGACATAAATGACCTTTCCTCTGAGACATAAATGACCTTTCCTCTGAGACATAAATGACCTTTCCTCTGAGACATAAATGACCTTCCCTGTGAGACATAAATTGATGACCTTCCCTCTGAGACATAAAATTATATGGCTCATGGTTAATGCATATAATGTGAGCTTCTCAGCGTCATTCTCTCCTGGTGATGATAATAGTGAGGATGGTGGTGAAGATGATGTTAGTGGTGGTGAAGATAGTAGTGGTGAAGATAGTAGTGGTGAGAATGGTAGTGATGCTGGAGGTGGTTATGGTGATAATAGTGATGATGATAATGATGATGGTGGTGGTGGTGGTGGTGATAGTGATAATGATGGCGATGATGATGATGATGGTGATAATGGTGATAATTATAATGATGATGATGGTGATAATAGTGATGATGATAATAATGATGGTGATAATGATGATAATGATAATGATGATGGTGATAATAATAATAAAAGTAGTACTCAAATACCCAGACTTAAATCGCTAATCTATCCTCCATCAACAATAATTTCCTCTATAACGCCAAAAAAAAAAATCGGGGAAAACAGAACACATCGTCAATTTAATCTGAACCACCAAGTGTTATTTTATTCCCGCTCATTTGATTGTTTTATTCATTAATATGTATTGACAAAAATCACCACACGAGGAGGACAAATCACAACACTGTGTTATTGATACGATATTGTTGTGTTATTGGTGTTACTGTGGTGTTATTGTTATTGTAATTGTTTTGTTAGTGTTGTAATTGTCTTGTTATTATTGTTAACGTCATATTATTGTTTTGTTATTGTTGTTATTGTCCTGCTAATATCCTTTTATCGTGTAATTGTTACGTAATTATCATGTTATTGTCATGTTATTTTCATGGTGGAGACAGTGTGGGTGGTGGGGATAATGGTGGAGAGAGTGGTGGTAGTAGACACAGTGTTGGTGGAGACAGCGGTGATGGGAATGGTGGAGATAATATTCGTGGTGGTGTTGGAGATAGTGTTGGTGGTGGTCGTCATTGAGGCAGTGGTAGTGGAAATAGTGGTGGAGGTAAAAGTGATGATGGAGATAGTGGTGGAGACATGTGGTGGTAGCGGAGACAGTGGTGGTGGAGACAGTGGTGGTGGTAGAGACAGTGGTGGAGATAGTGGTGGTGGTGGTGGTGGTGGTGGTGGAGATAGTGGTGGAGGTGGAGACAGTATCAGCACCTCAGTAGTAAGACAGGAGGAGGAAATTACTCGCTCGATATATATTATTGTGGACGAAGGTAGCCACGCCCTGCCCCTGCCACGCCCTGCCCCTGCCCCTACCACGCCCTGCCCCTACCCTCCCTGTCAGCCCTTCTCTCCCCTCCCACGCCTGCCCTACCTCTGCCCCTACCCAACCCCTGCCACGCCCTGCCTCTTCCCTCTCCCATGCCCTGCTCCTACACCTCTACCCCTGCCACGCCTTGCCCCACCTCTACCCCGTCTACAATTCTGCCCCGATTATACCGCCCTTCAGGATTTATTGAACAGTCTCCAAAAACGGGCCACCAACAACCACGTCACCATCAACCATACCAAGACCATGTTATCCACATCAGCCTTCCTCCGACGTTGTCCCACCCTCATTACTTTAGATCCCAACATGTTGTAGATCACTAAGCCTCGGCATCACCATAGACAACAAACTAAATTGGAAACCACTCGTCAGTGAAGGTCAAATCCTCCGCCTGTCT